ACCAAGCATATTTTTAATTATACCCATCGAATGGCATTTCGTGAATAATATCTCATCTTCTGTCATTTTGTTTCTGGATTTGAAAATATCTACCAAAGGAAACTCTCGAACCTTCACTGGGTCCTCGAGGTTCGGTACATCATGGTTTAAACCACAGGATGGTTAGATATTTTCTGCATACCTTTGGAAAAGAAAAGCGATAAAAAGAAAAATATTTTCTTTCTAAGAACGCCTCTGCTTCCAGGTACCACACATCAATTCTCTTTGTTCTTCTTCCACCCAATTTATTGATGCAGATTCCATACGTCCTATCGTTTCTTCATTAAGATCGATCTACTTTTTTCAGCGATGGAGGCTGAATCGGCGGATGGATCGGCCACCTATCAATCTTATTACTCCCTCCTGGGGATCCGCCGCAACGCTTCCCTCGCCGAAATCCGCGTGGCCTACAGAAAGCTTGCCCTGGTAAGATTTTGTACCATTTCGTTGCAATCTATAATTTTAATTTGTATTTCTGAAGTGTTTTTTGCGAAATACTTGACTTAGAATGTTTACAGAAAGTGCATGCCGGATGAGAAATTATTGCGATGTGGAATCCGATCACAACGATGTGTTAGGTTGCTCTACGTGGAATGGGTTTAACAGTCAATTGCTTGCGTAAACCTCGTAAACGACCCGTTTCCCCAGACCAGGGAGATTTAGGATTGGGCGCTATCTTTTTTTCAGAATTTAGAGCGACCAACGCGAATACCCGCAATATATAAAGACTAGAGCCAAAATTTTCGCAGAAGCCACCAAATTTGCAGAAGAATTAATGCCGATGAAGATGGAAGATTGATCTGGAGGAGGATGTTAAGTTTTATGAGCAAGATCAATATTTTCGCAGGTCTCAGAGGAAGCATAACACTTAGAGAATGCCGACGATCCGGAAAACAACACACATGAAGTTGCAGAACAGGTAGAACGCAAGATGGAATTGGAACGAATAGCTCAGCATCCGATAACAGTTCGCTCTCATTACAAGTATTATCGATTGTGCATTTATTGATGTTTAGCAAAGAATGGGTTTTTTATCAAACAATGTGCATAGTGTAAATTGTAATTGATTTAAAAAGAATTACTCGAAGTGTTTCTTTCTCTAAGCATTTTATGATCATAGGCTACATAAAGGATTTTTGTAAGTTACGATTTTCCTATTATCAAGGTTGTATGCGTATTATATTGCGTTGTACTTGCGTATATAATTTGGTATATAATTACGTGTATATTAGCGTATACATTGCGATCAAGTGTTGTCAAATATGCTGCTATATCATATTGCGTATATGTTGCGTATTGGTTGATAAATGCGTACTGGGTATTTTCCATTACATTTGCGTATTTATCAGGATGTTTATTGTTTAATGAGAAAGAAGCATAGACGGCTTATCGTTCTTATGGATTAAATCTTGGTTATTTAGTGTTCGTAAGGATCATCAACAAGTTACTGCCAAATTCAGAAATTTAAAATCAAGGACTTTGTTTGTTGAAAAGCTGGTTTCAAGAAGTTGCTGATCTTAATTCCAAAGGAAATAATACGGAAGAATCAATACTCGATTGGTTGTCCAGCTATGGTTTAGGATATTACAGTGGATATGAAGCTGGATATTGGAAGTGTGAAAAAATTTATTGAAAATACAATCATAGATTTGCCTAGGCAGACGAGCCGGCATCTTTTAGATCATGCAGGAATATGTGTGATGAAAAAGCTTTCTGTTCTTAAGCATGACAGTGCTGGAGTAAGAACAATTGATGCATTTTCCTCCTTGCTGATGAAGTTGGAGGTGTTGAAATTTGGATTCACAAGGAGGGATGCGTACAATTTTAAATTCAAAAAATAAAAGAGCCTAAGATTGAACTTGGGGCACTATACTTTGGATTGAGTTTTTTAAAGAACGACAAACTTAATGATAACATGTTTCATTGGGCATGTCCAGAAGGGAATGAATTTGATAGATTGTTAAATTTTTTTGGGTTTGATGCGAATTTGGTAAGATAGATTATGACTGCATGATGGTGATGTGAGTAATTTTTTGATACAAGTTATAGCTTAATAAAGTATAATTTGGTTGTGCACCATTTGTTGGGGGTTAACTCATTCGGTCCCAAAACTTTTGCTTGGGGTGCCTTCTTGTGTCCGAAGAAGACAATTGAATCATTTCAGTGGGGTGTTTACACTTTTTGTTCGAATGAATGGGTGATAAAAAGCCAATAACAATATATACAGACAGACCAGGACAATGGCTAGGGCCAGAGTTGCACTACCTCACAGTCGATCATAGACTGTGCCATAGGATATCGAAAAAAGGTCCATCAAAAGTATCAGTGCATAACAATACAACATACAACAGTCAAAGGCTCTCAATAAGTGTTGAGCAGTGTGACTCTGAGGAGGGTATGAGCATGATGGAGCTGATTGATATTACAAGGAACCTCAAGATCATGTTTGGTTGCGAAGGATCTTTATAGGATAAGGAATAAGTGAGTCAACTGCCTTCAATAGATTATTTTAAGCATGGACATTCTATCACACAACGTAGCGAGTCTACTAATATTGTAGTACTGGGCATATTCTAAGGCCACAAGTTCCTTAGATTGCTTTTGAGTTAGAGAAGTTGATGAGGAATTGCGCCAGGAATGAAAAGGACGAAGGATTATAGTGCTAGCCATCCGAAATAGAACGCTATGTATATAAACACTGTCAATATTAAAGACAGTGCTCAATTTTATTCAAGAAACTATATCCATTTTTGAACAAGAATTTCTTACAAGGTGTAGGTGTAACTGAGTGTAAGAAGCTTGATCTAGTTGATCTCTTCTAATTTTTTTGTCTTATTACAACCGAGACAAGGATATACTAACCATGGGTTTGTTGATTTTGATGCCAAAATGGTACAATCAAATGCTCTGCAGAAATGTTTTGAAATGATGGGTTTTATTGTGTTCTCATGCATATAGTTTTGAGGCAATGACTAATTGGGAAAATCCCGGAAGTACCTACTGTTGCGATGGGTCAGCACGAGCTCGACAAGATATATATGACTGGTCAAATTTTTGAAACAGAAAATTCTCAGAATAGCTTTGAAGCTAGTAGTGGGAATTCATATATCAGAAATTATTTAGCAGGATTTGCAATATGATTGAGGCATACGAGAGCAGCTGAATGAGGTGGTGAGAATTCTATGACTGCGATGAAGGATACATCTGTTAAACTCGATTTGGTTATTTTTGGGAAGAGAAAGAACTCAAGACTACACAGGGTGCCAGTGTACAACTGAAAGACCCTCTAAGATATGACTAAAGGCATATCCATGCTAGGAAGATGAAAGCACTGGGAAAAAGACAAGAGTATGAATATTTTTATTTTCTGAATATTATTTATTTATTGCTTATTTTACATGGAATTTGTTTGTTATATCTTTTTATTACAGGGAAAGCACAATGGAATGCACAACAAATTTGAGACTACTTAAGCATGCCCGCGTTAAGTTGAGGATTTCACTAATTCCCTTACTCAGCACTGGATCAGAGTGTAATTTATCAGAACCGAATGCTTCATGAGTGTACTTAAATTGTTGTACATCCAGTCAGGCATCTCCAGCTAAGCAGTACAATTTCTCAAGAATGCCAATGCTTTACGGAGGATTCATATATCACAACATGCCCGTCCTAGTTAGGCATCAGTACAGCAGTTCACAGCATGCCTGAGTGCATGACAGCGATTTCAATACCGGGGAATCGTCCAGTCAACCATCAGTAAAGCGAGCAACAGCATTCTATTTCACACCATACCCAATGCTTCACTCAGGAACACATAACAGGTGTACGTTCAAACAGCCATCAGCAAAAAATACCTGAAGTTGTTGATGTGGATATCATTAAAACAGAGAAATCCATGTTATAAGAATATTTGTATGATGGATATTTATTTGTAAAAATATTTGTATGATGGATATTTATTTGTAAAAATATTTGTATGATGGATATTTATTTTGTAAGAATATTTGTTGATGGATATTTATTTGTAAGAAGATTTGTTTTAGCTGTAAAATTTAATTTGCGTATGTCCCGCGTATACAGCGCGTATGTACCGCGTATACAACGCGTATGTCCTGCGTATGAAATGTGTA